GAAATCCTTCAGGAACCGGCGGTTTCGTGAGGATTTCAACATGCGGCGTCCCAGAGCATATAGAAACACATGGTTTCGCAGCGCGGATTTCCAGAACACAGACGCTTGAAAACCATCGATTTTCCCACATGTCCAGAAAATGCTGCCAGGTGGGTTCGCGCGCGCGCCGACGTCGTTCGAATGCCCCCGCGCGCGCCGCCGCGAGAATTTACCGCGCAAAATGGGGCGAAGTGCGCGCGCGCCTCGTCGCGAGCGTCGTCGTCGAGATATCCAAACCGAGTGTTCAACAACAACGTGTAAAACACGTGGCGTTGCAACATCAGTGTTCCGAAAAATCCTGCGCTCGCGCTCGTGCGCATCCTTGTGTGCACAGAGGGTTTCTCGGCATTGTCATGGAATTCTGTCGAACGGGCCTCTCGCGCCGCGTGCCGACATCATTCGCGCGCCCTTGCGCGCGTGCTGCGGGGGGGGCGGGGCGCGATCCGTGTCAATGATGCCGCGCGGGCCACTCGCGCGTCTTACTGCGCGCGTCGGCCGCGCGCGCATGTCGAACTCTTTCCAAAACCCTCGTCGCCGACTCGAGGGCGCCGTCATCGTCGTCGGCGCGATCTGCATCGGCGCCCGCGCTGGCCGCGCCATCGTGTCTACCGTCGTCGACGTTGCCATGATGCCGCGCCCGCCCAAGTCGCCGACTCGCAGTGAACTGCCCGCTGGGATGCGCCTGGCGGTCAGCGCCGCCGCGGCCGCGCCGGTCGCGCCAAATTAGCTTGCCGCTGCGCGCGCGTGGGTCGGCGCAGCCGCAGGGGCGCGCCGTCCAAATCCAAGCGCGCGTCGCAATCGCCGCCGCATGGGTTTTGCAGGCCAAGTCGCGGGTGGGTGGGTGGGGTGTTTACAAGTGCATGGGATGTGTCAATTCGTTTGTTAACTAATTGCATCGCGTATATTGCCTCGCGCAGATCGCATCGCGCCGAGCACGCCGCAAACATTGCGCTACATGAGTTGCCTAACATATTGCGCCGCAGAGCCTGTTCCGCGTATATTGCGCGTCGTTGTTAGCGCCGCCTATATCGCGCTAAATGTATTCTATCCTCTGAATGGGCAGTGGGATCTACCTCCTCCCGCCGCTCTTAAGCGCCCCCCTCTTCGCGCTGCAATTTGCATGTGGTGCCGCTCCGTCGCCCATCCTGAATTTGAACCCGTGTCGTCCCAGCCGGGCCCTCGTCGCCCACCCTTCCCCGCGCGCGCGCCGATGTCGCCGGCGGTCCAGGTTGCGCGAGCATTTTCAAATCGAGTGTTCAGAACGCATTTACTCTTCACACATTGTTTTGCACCGCCAGTTTTCAAAAATGCCTGAGCCCGCGCTCTTGCAGACTTCAAAGACAATCGCAGGTTTTTCTAAGCGTTCCATTGAATGCGGCCAAGTGGACCTCTCGCGCTTCACGCCGACATCATTTGAACGCCCTTGCGCGCGCGCTCGGGGGCGGGGGGGGGCGCGAGATCCGCGTCAGATAATGCCGTGCGGGCCGCGCGCGCGCCTGTCGAACTCCTTCCAGAACCTTCATCGCCGCCGCGAGGGCGCTGTCATCGTCGTCGGCGTGATCAGCATATGCGCCGTCGCTGGCGTGCCGTCGTCGTTGCCATCATCGTCACCGGCGTCGCTGCTGCCATCGTCGTGTCTGCTGTTGTCGACCTTGCCATGATACCGCGCCCGCCGACGTCGCGACTCGCGCTGGGGTGCCCGTTGAGATGCGCCCAGCGGTCAACGCCGCCGCGGCCGCGTCGGTCGCGCCAAACCAGCTGGCCGCTTCGCGCGCGAGCGCGCGGGGTAGCCCGGCCTCAGAGATGCCCCAGCCAGCGCCGCGCCCTCGTCGCAACCACCGCCGCATTGGTTTTGCAAACCAAGTGGCGGGTGGGGGCGTGGGATGCTTTGACGCTTCACTGCGAAGTGTAACTCATTGCGCCACATTCCTGCGCGTAGCTTACACCTTACACCGCCATGCATTGTGCTACATTGAGTTCTCTCACATCGATTGGACCATCAGGATGTTCCTCTAAACGAATAATATGGCCTGCTACATCCTGGACTCGACCGCGCCCTTTTCGTTTTGCAATTGGGATGATTCGACCCCGTCATCCTTCCTAAGATGAAGTCGGATCATCCCAGCCAATAGGCGCGCGCACTCCTTGACCGAGAATCACCACCTGTCAAGAAACCCTTGCAAGCAATGACGCGAAGTGCAATCGCGCGCGTGGTCGCGCGCGCGTATCGCAATCCTCCAAAAAGCTTTGGTTGCGCAAGGATTTTACATTCAGCGCCCCGAAAACATATAATAACATACATTTGGTTCTCCAGCGAGAACGTTGGGGAAAACGCGCGCGCGCTCCTGCGAATTCTTCAGGAACCCATAGGTGTAGCATGTTTCGTAAAAGCTGCCGCCAGGTGGCCCCCTCGCGCGCGTGCTGAAGTCGTTCGAACGCCCTTGCGAGCGTTCTGTCGCAAGAACCCCATGCAGCAGATGCGGCGAAGTGCATGCGCACGTCGTTGCGCGCGTGCCGAAATCTTTCAAAATCCACAGGCTTCGCAGCGATTGCAAAAACGAGCGCCCCGAAAACATTCAAACCACATGGTTTCGCAATATCAGTTTTGGGAAAAAACCGCGCTCGCGCCCTTGCGAATTCGCAAGGGAGCCACAGTTATATATGTGTATATGTACACACGTATGTGTGTGTGTGTGCGTGTGTGTGTGTGTGTGTGTGTGTGTGTGTGTGTGTGTGTGTGTGTGTAGGAGAAGCCCCTTGTGATGAAATTCTGCTAAACGAGTCTCTCGCGCCGCGCGTCGAAATCATTCGAACGCCCTTGCGCTCGTGCTGGGGTGCGGGGGGGCGAGGCGCGGTCCGCGTCGCATAATGCCACGCGGGCTACCCTCGCGCGTCGGCCGCGTGCGTATGTCGAACTCTTTCCAGCATCTTCCATCGCCGACGCGAGGGCGCCGTCGTCGTCGTCGACGTGGCCGGCGTCGGCGCCGTCGCTGGCTTCGCCGTCGTCGTTGTCATCGTCGTTGCCTGCGTGGCCACGATCATCGCCGTGTCTGCTGGCGTCGACGTTGCCACGATGCCGCGCCCGCCGAAGTCGCCGACTTGCGCTGAAGTTCCCGCTGGGAAGTGCCGCGCGGTCGGTGCCATCGCGGCCGCGTCTGTCGCGCCGAACAAGCTGGCCGGCTGCGCGCGCGAGCGTGCGCGGGTTCGCGCCGCCGCAGAGACGCACCAGCCAACGCGGTGCGCTCATCGCAATCGCCGCCGCGTGCGTTTTGCAAACCATGTTGCGGGTGGGTAAAAGGGATGTTTGCACGGGCAGTCCAGTTGACAATCCGCTGCGATCCTAAATCCATTGCGCTGCGTAGACTGCGCCACATATAACGCACCGTGTATATTCTATAGTACTCTACGTAATCTACCACCCCTTCGTTGTCTACATATATTGCGCTGCGTAATCTACCACCCCTTCCCCCGGACTTAACCGCCACCCCTTTGTCGCATCGTAATATTATCGGTCATTCGGCACCACCGTCCACGCTAAGTATGAGTTCGTATCATCCCAGCCAAACCCTGATCAATCGCCCCCCTTCAACCTTTGCAGAATACGGTGCGCGCGCCCTCGCCTATCACAGAGCATCTGTCTCCAATTATCCCTTGCAAAACAATGGCCCGAAGTGCATTCGCGCGCGCCGTCGTTTGCGCGTTCCGAAACCTTTCATAAACGCAGGCTGCGCACGGATTTCAAAAACGAGTGCCCCGAAATCATATCCAACAAACACTTCGTTGCCCAGCAGGAAGTTTCCGAACAAGCTTACGGGCGCAATCTTGCGAATTCTTACGAACACCGTACGTTTTGTAGACTTTATTCGTCACGTTCTATCTAACTGACCTCCCCCCCGCGCGCATGCCGAAATCGGCCGAGCCCCCTCGCGCGCATGCTGTCGCAAGAACCCCTTTGCAACAGATGTGACGACATGTTCGCGCGCGTCTTCGCGCGGGCATGTTCGGTTTCGTGTGGTTTTCAAAATCGAGTACCCCGATAACATATAAAACCACATGGTTTGGCAACATCAGTTTTCACAAACGGCGTGCGCGCGCGCGCCCTTGCGAATTCGTAAGAAAACCATGTTAATTGGTTTTGTTGTAAGCGTGGGTAGAATGTCATAGAATTCTGCCAACGGGGTGTCTCCGCGCCGCATGTCGAAATCACCCGAACGCCCTTGCCCGCGTGTTGGGGGGGCACGAATCGTGTCAGATAATGCCATGCGGGCCACCCTCGCGCGCCGGCCGCGCGCGCATGTCGAATTCCTTCCAACACCTTCATCGCCGACGTGAGGGCGCCGTCATCGTCGTCGGCGTGATCGGCATTGGGGCCGTCGCTGGCGTCGCCGTCGTCGTTGCCATCATCGTCACCGGCATCGCTACGATCATCATCGTGTCTACTGGTGTCGACGTTGCCATGATACCGCGCCCGCCCAAACCGCCTTTTCGCACTGAAATACCCGCTGGAAAGTGCCCAGCGGTCAGCGCCACCGCTGCCGCGTCGGTCGTGCCGAACAAGCTGGGGGCTGCGCGCGCGAGCATGCGCGGGCTAGCGCGGCCGCAAACATGCACCAGCCAACGCCAAACACTCTTCGCAATTGCCGCTGCATGGGTGTTGCGAGTCATGTTGCGGGCGGGTGGATGGGATGATTGCGCGAGGAGTGGAATGTGCAACGCGTTGCGAACAAATATTCGTTGCACCGCAGGGATTGCACCACTTAGTTTATGTTTCACATTAATTGCACCAGTTAGGTTGCACCTCGTATATATATATATACATAACTTATACTACCCTGCGTGTTGCTTAACATGTTGCATTACGCATCTTACACCACGTGCATTGCACCCGCCGCGTAGCATGCTAAAACACAATGTTTGGGTCCACGTTGGCTAACATGGTCATGGAATTGTTCGTTCCTCGAGATGGACATTCCGTCGCACTTCGCTGAGGGCAAAGCGCTGCAGATCGGGGAGTTTGCAGATGAGGGTGGTCGGAACTCCGACGAGCGGCTGGACTATCTGCTAATGGACATTCTGCCGCACCTCCCCCAAGACAAGGCTTGGCCGAAAGAGAAGCACCGGGGCGGGCGGCCCCTCTTTCGCAGTTTTTTGTTTTGGGAACCGGAATTGAAGCCGTCTCTTCGGGCTTCGGGAGCCGTCAGCCAACGCTTCGGGATGGCAGTTCAGTCCGAGGGACGAAAGTGTCGAGACATCATGGGGGGCCGTGTCTCGAAGTCGTCGAGCCGTGGGAAGTTCGGCAACGCGTTGGGGTCGGCCCGATGGGGTGGCCCTTTCAGAATCGGCCAGTCAAAAAGGGTATGGGGGAGGGGGACCTGACGCACTTCTTCAAAACATTTCAAAACAGGAGTTTCGCTAGAGACATTCCCGCGAAACTCTAAGCCTCGAGATGCTGTGGTCCAGTCAAGCAAAAATCCCTAAGACGAAGGAGGCACCCTTGCTTCTCAGAAGGCGCGGGCTTTGTCTGTAGATGAGAAAGAGCGTGATCTACCGCTGCTGGCGGAAAACCAGGGGGGGTCACTGGGTGTTCCCAACCCGCCCCCCCCCTCGAAAACCGGGGGGGGGTCACTACCGGTTCGAACCCCTCCCCCCCCCCAGTCCATCATGAAAAGGGGGGGGGGTCACCACTGGTTCGAACACCCCCCCCCTTGAAAACCAGGGGGGGTCACTGCCGGTTCGAACCCCCCTCTCCCCCACTTAGCAGCCGGCAAACGATTCCCGCTCCTCGGGACAGTTGGACAATGGTGGGGATGCTGGGACAGTGGTGGGAACGGTGGTGGTGAGGACAGTGGTGCGGGGACAGTGGGACAGTGGTGCGGACAGGGGTGGGGACGGTGGTTCTGGGGACAGTGGTGAGGGGACAGCGGGACAGTGGTGGGGACTGGGACAGTGGTGGGGACGGTAGTGGTGGGGACAGTGGTGAAGGCGGTGGTGAGGACAGTGGTGCGGGGACAGTGGGACAGTGGTGCGGACAGTGGTGGGGACAGTGGGGACAGTGGGGACAGTGGGACAGTGAGGGGGGCAGGGGACCGTGGGACAGCACAGTGGGACAGCACAGTGGGACAGTGGCAGGGACAGTGGGACAGTGGCAGGGACAGTGGGGACAGTGGGGACAATGGTGGGGACACTGGGGAAAGTGGGGAGAGTGGGACCGTGGTGGGACAATGGTGGGGAGAGCGGGGACACTGAGACACTGGTGTGGGCACTGGTGGGGACAGCGGAGACAATGGTGGGAACAGTGGGGACAGTGGGACAGTGGTGGGGACGGTGGTGGTGGGGACAGTGGTGTGGGGACAGTGGGAATGTGGTGGAAACAGTGGGGGAGTGGAGGGTACAGTTGTGGTGGGGATAGTGGTGAGGGCGGTGGCGAGGACGGCGGTGGGACAATGGGGCAGAGGTACAGTGGGGACAGTGGGGACAGCGGTGGGAACAGTGGGACAGCTCAGTGGGGCAGCGGTGGGACAGTGGGACAGTGGGACAGTGGGATAGTGGGTACAGTGGGACAGTGGTTGGGCCCGTGGAGAAAGTGGGGAGAGTGGAACCGTGGTGGGAACAGTGGTGGGGACTGGGGACAGTGCGACAGTGGTGGGGGCACTGGTGGGGACACTGGGGGCGGTGGTGGGAACATTGGGGACAGTGGTGGTGACGACAGTGGTGCTGTGGACAGCAGTGGGGGATGTGGTGCGAACGGTGGTAGGGACCCAGGAGTCGTTTGCTGGCGGTGAGCGTGGGGGGGGTGGAGGGGGTTTCGAACCGGTAGTGGCCCCCCCGGTTTTCTGGAGGGGGGGGGAGGGATTCGAACTGGTAGTGACTCCTCTCTGGTCTTCTGGGGGGGGGAGGGGTTCGAACCGGTAGTGACCCCCCTCGGTTCGGTTTTCCGGAGGGGGGCGGGAAGGGTTCGAACCGGCAGTGACCCCCCCCAGTTTTCCGAAGGGGGGGGAGGGGGTCAGGGGATGGGGGGGGGGGTTTGCCGGAGGGAGGGTTCCAGCAGGGGGGGGAGCCCCAGGTTCCGGAGGAAGAGGGGGGGGAATTCTCAACAGTCATGCGGCGGTGGATCACGCTCTCTCGTAGATGAAGGGCTGTCGCCTTCTGAGACTTCCAAGAAGCCTTCTCCCCTCCCCCTAAACCCGTGTGCGCGCCGCCAACTGGAGGCACGGGGCTTTAACAGAAGCCTAGGTCACCCGCGGGGCGTGAAGATAATCGCGCTTCGAGCGTCGCAATTTGAGCGGCAGCCCTTCTCCAAAGGGCCAGCGCGAGGGCGCGAGGGTGCGAAGGTAATCGCGCGTCGCGCGTCGCGAGGCGCGAGGCGGAAAGTCTTGGTGACCTAGGAAGCCTCCGAGCCCTCCTCAAAGGCCTACCCGCCTCCTATGAGAGCTGAGCCGCCACATGAGGCCGACCAGCTGCTGAGCCGCCTCGGCGAGACGGAGATGAGCCAGGTCTCGAAGAATAGAGAACGGCACAAGCATGAACTTTCGACGGCCCGCTTGGATTTCTGGGATCTGCACTGGGCCCACTTCCCCAGCGTGCTGAGCGCGCCAAGGGGTGGCGCCGGAGGCGCCGCTAGAGGGTCTAGGGCAGATCCAAGGTATCCGCGCGGACCGTTGGAAGTTTATGTTGGAGTGGGGCTAGGACGAGGAACGAGGATAAACTGTTCCAGAGCGTTCTGGAACGCCCCCCGAGCGTTCGGGAACGCTCCAAGAAGGCTGCGGCGCCCGAGACGTCCTCCAGAGCCGCCGCACCTCCGAGGCCCTCGAGCGGCCTCTCCCCGTCCAGTCTTCCTCCCTGCCTTGGCTTCGCCTCGCGCCTGTGCCCTGCCGTCCTCCCCTCGAGGTCGCCCTCGAGCACGCGCTCCGGCGCTGGCACGAGCCGGCCTCCGCCTGCGAGGAGCCCGCGCCCGAGCCCGAGCACGCGGGCCCCGCGGGCGCGCCCAGCGGGGGCGCGGCCATGCCCCGAGGCGCGGCCGCGCCCCGCGGCGCGACGACGCCGCGGGGGCCACGGGCCATTGGGGCTCGGGCGGCCGCCGGGGCGCCCGCGCAGCCCGCGGCGGGGCACCTGCGGCGGCAGGCGTACCGGTCGGGCACCGCTCCTGCGTGAGCGGTTTGCCGAGGAGCGCTGGGCCGCGCAGATGGGGTCCGAGCAGGAGGGGGAGGAGGAGGAGGAGGAGGAGGAGGAGGAGGAGGAGGAGGAGGAGGAGGAGGAGGAGGAGGACCGCTCCGATGACCAGTGGCCACAGCTCAAGCACAGGAAAGTCCCTCTCTGTGTGACCACCATCTCGTGAGACGGGTGCACAAATGAGGCCCCGACGAAGGCACCGCGCACAGATTTCACGCTGTGGACAGGTCCCGACCAAGGCTTGGCAGGCACACAGGGGGTTCCCAGAAACTCTTGTGAGGGCTTTGCCCTGTGCGAATTGATCGAGACCACCGACAAACACTTGATGCATTGAAACCTATTACCTGCTTCTACTGGCTGCATCTCATGGGCACTGTCGGCCATGAGCTTGGCCATCTTTGGGCCGAGGTTCAGCTTTGGACCAGGGGCCTTGGGCCTCGGCTTCGGCTTCGGACGAGGCCGTCGAGGGATCCTGGGACCAACGGTCTGAGACTGCTCGGTATATCTACTGAGAAAAGCGTCGGTGGCTCGGTTCCTTATACTCTTGGAGAGGGCGAGGCCGAGCTCCACGGCTTCTACTTCACCTGGGGATAACTGATATCTAACTACAACATCGTCTGCTAGTTTGTCCGCTAATTAGTTGCCTACATATGCGAAAACAGGCGTGCCCTTCAGAGCGGCTCTTTCAGCAGACATATGATATTCTACCTTCAAGACGCTGACCGACCGACGATCGACTGCTGCTCGAACTCTCTTCCACTCATTTCTGTAAGTATCAGGGAACATGCTGTGCTGTATCTTCTGGAAACCTTGGGAAACATACGAACTATCTGTGACGTAGATCAAGAAGGGGCCCTCGGGGGAGTCCTCCAACAACTTCAGGAAGGCCGACAACTCCCTGTGATTTATAGTCTGCTCGTTCCAGACTGCTCCTGGAACTTGCCTGGCCACTTCTAGTTGCGGCTCCAGCTCTGAGATGTCGAACGGCCTGAACACAATGTATGCCCAGGCAACTCGCCGAAAAATGTCGGATGACGTATGGTTCCCGCCAGACGCATCACCCGCTCCCACCAAGATGCCCGAGGAGATTGGAAATTCGCCATGTGCGTGAAACTCGGCGTCTCCCTCGTGCGGTTGAGGGGTAACTTATGTCCATGCAGCAGGCGCGACACCTCGCAGCCATAAGGACGGCTGGGCCTCGTGCTGTGTGTAAGCGCGAGGCAATAGCAAGTCGGTCGACTTGACCGCGGGCAGCTCCTTGTTACATCTGCGCCCCCCCATATCCCGACTGTCCACTTGTAACTACCAACCCAACTGTCCACTTGTAACCACCATCTTATCGAACGGTCGGCATGTGACCTGGTGGATCTGGGTGACGACACTGCGATAGTCTTGAAAGCTCGTGGTTCGGCGCGACCGCAGCACTGCCAAGCTGTAGCTTCAGGTGCCCCCAGAACTCAGCAAAGAAATTGTTCCATGCAGGATGCAAAATGCCCATATTGGATCCCAAGAGTTGTCGACGAAATTTGGTGCTACTTGAAAGCCAACGACTCAGGTATCCAAGAAGGTGGCGACGACCATGCGCTCTTCTCCATCATGTTTTCAGAAATTTTGTCCCGCAGCTGATTCAAATCGGTGGGCTCCCATTTAGCAGCTGAATCTGATCTGAAGTCCTGAATGGGTTTGACTTTCTCCTCGACGCGCGCAGAGACAACTGAATTCCATAAGACCTGCAGAGCTTCCTGGTCGTAACCGAAAAATTCTTTGATCAAAGACTTCCGAGGAGTCTCAGGGAATGGGGTACGGACTCCCTGGAATGATTCTGAGGTCGCAGCTTTCTCGTCCTCGTCCTCTGGAAAAGAACAGTTCCTCATCATCCTCCTTTCCCGCCTCCTGAAGACCTGCGTCCATCCGCGCGGCCTTCTCGTGCTCTTTCTCCAGCTTCTCCCGACTGCGCTCGCTGTCGGGGTCGGCCACCTGGCGCTTCGGCGGCGGGGGCTGGACGGGGCGAGGGAGGTCCAGAACTCTGCGCATATTAGCTTCTGCCGAAGACTTGAGATCCAAGGAAATCCCATAGTGGTCACCTCCTTCTGGGAATATCAGCTGCGACGAAACATGCAGATCTCGAAAATCTTTAGAAGCAATACAATAATCAATAAATATTTGGCCGGTACCTCGCGTAGACGCGCGCGAAGTGCCGTCCGGGAAAAAGTGCATCTGCAGACCACTTTTGGATCCAGCTGCTCATCTCCTTGGGCGTGGCGTTGAAGTCGCCGAAGATAGCCCACTGGCCTGTGTGCCGCGACAAAAGAGCCGAGACCGTCAGCAATTTCTCCCCGTTGATGCCACTGGAGACTCCGACAGACGCAGTCAAATATACACCAACCATCAATAGTGACGCATGCTTCGTTCTCCACTCCAGCGCGACGACATCACGAAAGCATAGCGGGCCTGGGGTCCACTTGTCTGCATCCAAGTCGACCAAACCTAACGTATCTTCCTTCTTGTCGGCGGGGTGTCGGAATGCCTGGAAATGGTTGTGTCTGCGAATACCCATGACGATTCCGCCTGCCCTGTCTCTCTCCTGGGTCTTGTAGGCGGGGGGAATAATTCCAGCATTTTTGTTCAGCGCCAAAAAGTTGAGTATGTCAATCGTGCCATCCTCGAGGACGTGAGATTCTGGAGTGATAGTAACATCGGCGGCCTGATCCGAAAAAAGCTTCTTGGCCTTGGTACACCATAAAGAAAGGTTGTGCAAAATGAGTCTTCGTGTCTTAGGGGGCTCCATAGAGGCCTCCTGCTTCTTCTTCGGGTAGAGCCAGACGGTGCTAAACTGTAGACTTCTGATCTCCAGCTTCGCCTGCATTCGCCTTGGCTCTCTCGAAGGCCTGACCGTTGTTGTTCCTAGCCCGCTCCAGCACCTTCTTGACTGACTCCACGGACGGCTCCTCCACTGGCTGCGCTGCACCGGCTGAGGCGGCCGTTGCAGCGCCCTGGCCGCTGGCACAGCTCGAAGATGCCCCTGAGTGTGGCCCAGTTGAAGCTGGCTCCGAAGCAGGTGCATGGGCGCCTGGGTCGTGCTGCGCATCCTTGGAATCATTTCCAGCCGCAGCTGCGCCCATGTCCGTCTTGCGCTTCTTGATCGACATCCTGGTCTTGAGGTCCTTGAATTCCTGCTTGCGGGCTGACAGTCCCTGCGCAGAAGGTCCCACTGCTCTGACGATGATGTCTTTGATGTCCTTGGCGAGTGTCTCCTTGAAAGATTGCCATTGCTGGATCTCTGACGGGTCCAGGTCGCAATCTGAAATATCAAAGGATTCTCCATCTTCGAAATGAAGCAACTCTGACAATGCTGTATCCTCCTGTGGCTGCCAACAGAGCTGAGATATTGATCGCGGCCTTGGGCTTCTCGTCATGTTGGGGCTGACCGTTTGCTGCGGCGGTCGCCTCCATCTGCTCTTGGAGTTGCTTCTTGTATGCTGCGTCTGCAACGGCGGCCTTGCGTGCCAACTTTGCAACATCTGCTTTGGCTCGCAAGGCCCACTGCTCACATTCTTATTCATGTCGTACTGCCTTCTCCAACGCTTCCTGCGCACGACGGGCTGCAACTCTTGCTGACTGAAGCTGCTGTTCTCGAACGAGCGCTGGACGAACTGGTACTGACTTGGGTGGATCTGGCTTCTGCACTGCTGCTGCCAACGCCTGGAACTGCGCGGTGGTGCTGGGAGGGAGCTTCCGCTCCAAACACTGCAACAGCTGCTCGGTCGTTGGCGAGAAGGGATAATCGTGCTGAAGGGTCCCTGCGTCGATATTCCAATTCCCTGGCGGACCCTGAGCAAAGGGGCTTGGGGTCTGGGAGCGTGGATCCTTCCACCACGGAGGCTTCGGCCCGCCAGAGCCTTGAGCCCACACTCCTTTGGGACGCAGGTATTCTGACCCAGCAGCTGGCTGTAATCCACCTCCACATTGCCAGCACTTGGTGTGATTGCGGAAATTCCATTGATACTGGCAACGAAAACAAGCGATGTAACCTTGCTTCTTCCCGTACGGTGCCATGGCTGGTGCGGGGCTGTGCGCTTGCCCGAAGGGTGCCGACTACCGCAGTGGCGGTATGATCGATGGCCCCTGAAAGTCACTGATAGCTGCCGTGGACTAGCGGTATCCGTTTTGGCCCCAAGGGAACCTGACATCTTGAGCCAAAGTGGCTACGGAGAGGAGGAGAAGGAGGAGGAGGAGGAGGAGGAGGAGGAGGAGGAGGAGGAGGGGGAGGAGGAGGAGGCGGGAGGGGAGGAGGAGGAGGAGGAGGAGGAGGAGGAGGAGGAGGAGGAGAGGAAGAGGAGAGGAAGAGGAGGACGAGGATGAGGAGGAGGAGGAGGAGGAGGAGGAGGAGGAGGAGGAGGAGGAGAGGAGGAGGAGGAGGAGGAGGAGGAGGAGGAGGAGGAGGAGGAGGAGGAGGAGGAGGAGGAGGGTGAGGAGGAGGGTGAGGAGGAGGAGGAGGAGGAGGAGGAGGAGGAGGAGGGGGAGGAGGATGAGGAGGAGGAGGAGGGGGAGGAGGGGGAGGAGGAGGAGGAGGAGGAGGAGGAGGAGGAGGAGGAGGAGGAGGAGGAGGAGGAGGAGGAGGAAGGAGGAAAAGGAGGAGGAGGAGGAGGAGGAGGAGGAGGGAGGAGGAGGAGGAGGAGGAGGAGGAGGAGGAGGGAGGAGGAGGAGGAGGAGGGGAGGAGGAGGGAGGAGGAGGGAGGAGGGAGGAGGGAGGAGGGAGGAGGGAGGAGGGAGGAGGGGAGGGAGAGGAGGAGGGAGGAGGGAGGAGGAGGAGGAGGAGGAGAGGAGGAGGGAGGAGGAGAGGAGGGGG